TGGGCAGAAGGAAGTCTGGCTTGGCAATTCTGCTTTATGAGTAAGAGACTGCCTGTTGGGGCCAGATCCATTTCACAGGGAAAAAAATGCTGTTCCCTCCACCCGGGAAGACAGACTAAGTGTATTTTAATGTACAGCTGCAGCCCCAGCCCGGGGCCCCCATCAGGCCCAGGGCATCTGGTTGGAGAGGTCTCTTTTAAGCAGATGCTTATTATAGAGTTGGTCTGAGCACTTACCATGCCTTTTCTTTCCCAGCTGCTAAATGCCCATTTCCAAGTTATTGAAATTCACTGGGAAGTACGGTTAATATGAGAATATAGATTAGCCCCCTTGCCACTGATGCAAAGCTGCCCGCTTGCCAGCTTGGCAGTACTCAAGATTGATGAAATATTTGGCATGAACAGGGGAAAATGGAGAATGACTGGACGGGGGTGGGGATGGCGGGGTAGGTTTAATTCTTGAGCTGCTATTGAATCTGATTGCAGCCAACCCTCAATTACACCCAGGTGGATTACACACTGGGCAAGTGGTCTGTAGAAAGTGTTAAATCCCTTGAGCTTTTCGCCACTGCTCCACAGACCCCAAAAGCTTCCAAGCAGCCTGACCCAGCCATTAATTGGTGTGCACTCACAGCCGGCCAGCTCATTTCCATCCTGGTTGAAGCAGAACGTAATTAGGAAGGCAAACACGCGGTAAGGTATGTGCAATATCGATATCATCATTCCACGCATTTGAAGTCAGACAGCGGCGAGGTTTTGGTGACCCGCCGTTTTGAATTAATCACCTCACTGCTCTCCCCTCCTTCGGCAGGAACCAATGAGGAGGAGCTGCAGGCCACCAGGCTGCTTTAACAAACATCTGAGAACATACACATTCAAGTGTGTTGTTCTTTCAAAATAGTCACCTTGGGACAGGGCTGCTGCTTTGCTGAAGACATTTCTGGAAGTTCTTTTTGGGGAGGGGAATTGCCTTTGCCGCTTTTTGCCCATTCTTTAAAGTGCCTGTCTCCCACCAAGGGGCAGATCTCTGTCTTGGGAGGGCAGGATTGATTTTTAGTGACAGCAGAAAGCATTTTGGAGGGAAGTGTAGTGAGTCAAGTACAATCTTATAGTTCTTACTCATAAAATTTGTTTTCCCACTTCCTTTTTTTTTTTCCAGGAAAACAGTTTAAGCAGTTTGCATTTGGAACCATCACCTAAGCAAGGG